ATGCGATGGACGGGGCAAGGAAAAGTAAACGTGAAGCCTTGCGACGTCTACTACAGTTGCCACCTAAAGTAGCGCACATTCGGTGTTGGATTCGTGGTAGGAGAGAGACTCCGTCGCCGAGTACTGGCGTTCACCCCGGTGGACGAACGTCTAGCCACAATCCGCATGAAAGCTAGATTCTTCAACATCTCGCTCATCTGCGCCCATGCCCCGACGGAAGAGAAGGATAAGGCGATCTCTTCTATGAGCGCTTGGAACGTACATACATATGAGCGCTGCCCCCGACACGATGTCAATATCGTGCTTGGCGATTTTAATGCCAAGGTGGGCAAGGAGGGGCTCTTTGGCGCGACGGCGGGAAAATTCAGCCTCCACGACGAAACGTCCGATAACGGACTGAGGCTGATCGACTTCGCCGGGGCCCGAAATATGGTAATATGTAGTACTAGGTTCCAGCATAAGAACATCCACCAAGCTACATGGCTGTCTCCAGATCGAAAAACGAGAAACCAAATCGATCATGTTGTGATAGACGGAAGGCATGCTTCAAGCGTTTTGGACGTACGTACACTCCGAGGGCCAAACATCGACTCGGACCACTATCTTGTTGTAGCCAAGATACGCACCCGCCTCTGTGCAGCAAAAAATGTGCGCTCAAATATGCAAGGAAAGCTTAACGTCAAAAAGCTGCAATCAAAACAGACAGCCAGCGCTTTCGCTACTCGACTCTCACATCTGCTCTCAGAGAGCACTCTTCAACAATCCGACATACGCGAGCAGTGTAACCATTTCCCGATCATTAAGTACCGCCGCCGAAGAAGTAGTTGGATTTCAGCGAGCCCGAAAGAACAACTGGTACGATGAGGAATGTCAAGAAGCCGCAGAGAAAAAAGATGTCGCCTACAGGGCCACGCTGCGATCGGGCGCAACGCGAGCCATGTGGGACCGTTATAAGGAACTGAAGAAGGAAGCGAGACGTATTTTCCGCAATAAGAAGCGAGAGGCCGAAATACGTGAGTGCGAAGAGCTTGAGATGCTGGCCGACAGGAAGAATGCCTGAAAATTCTACCAGAGGGTTAGGCGACTTACGGAAGGTTTCAAGACCGGGGCGAACTCCTGTGAGAAGCCCAGAATATACTTAAATTGTGGAGGCAACACTTTTACAACTTACTGAATGGCAACAGTGCTGAAAGTGGTGAAGAAGACGAACCCGAGTCCCGAGTCGATGATGATGAAGTAGCTGTCCCACCGCCTGACTATGACGAGGTACGAATAGCGATTACGCGGCTGAAAAACAACAAAGCTGCTGGAGCTGACGGCCTGCCAGCCGAGCTATTCAAGTACGGCGGCGAGGAGCTGATGAGGTGCATGCATCAGCTCGTATGCAGAATATGGTCAGCTGAATGCATGCCCGACGACTGGAATTTAAGTGAGCTCTGCCCAATCCACAAGAAAGGCGACCCCGCCATACGCGCCAACTACCGCGGAATTAGCCTTCTAAGCATAGGTTACAAGGTCTTATCGAGCGTATTGTGCGAAAGACTGAAGCCCACCGTCAACGAGCTGATTAGACCTTATCAGTGCGGCTCTAGGCCTGGAAAATCCACCATTGACAAGGTATTCACAATAAGCAAAATCGTGGAAAAGACCCGCGAGAATAGGATCGACACACCATCTATTTGTGTCGATTTCAAAGCCGCTTTCGACNCGCCAAATCTTGGAAAAGACCCGCGAGAATAGGATCGACACACACCATCTATTTGTCGATTTCAAAGCCGCTTTCGACAGCACGAAGAGAAGTTGCCTTTATGCCGCGATGTCTGAATTTGGTATCCCCGCGAAACTAATACGGCTGTGTAAAATGACCTTGAGCAAAACCACCAGCTCCGTCAAAATAGGGAAGAACCTCTCCGAGCCGTTTAGTCTGGTGGTGAACGAGGACAAAACGAAGTATCTCCTGTCATCACACAAACAGCCAGAGCATACGCGTCTTGGCGCCCACGTCACTGTTGACAGTTACAAGTTAACACCAATAATAATGTCAGCCTTGAAATCCAAAGGAGAATCACTCTTGCCAACAAGTGCTACTTTGGGCTGAGTAGGCAATTGAGAAGTAAAGTCCTCTCTCGTCGTACAAAGATCACACTCTATAAGCAGTGTTGCCAACTTTTGATTTTCAAAAAGCACCAAAAACTTGTGAAAAAAGCGTTTTACCACACTAAATGCACCAAATATTTTTTAATAAAAGGATGCTTTTTTCATAACGGTTTGTATTTAACAAAATCAAAAAATTAACAATATATATCATAACGATTGAATAGCTTCTACACATGCTGTGATGAATCATGCTTATGACGTCAAACCGAAGTACTGCCCATTAAAGCTGGAGAAAAAAAATCGAATCGCGACAAACGAAAATGATGCCCTAAGTAGAAATGCGCAAAAAAAAAATTTGATGTTTTCATTATATAACCTCAAATATCGCCAAAAACCGTGTTTTTGGCACTTTGAGGTTAGGATATCTAAAAATTGTAGTGCTAGAGCAATTGTGCGTCCAGATTTGGATTCAGCACCCAGAAACGATGTGTTTTACTCCGGAGGTAATAAAAAATCAAAATTTGTGCAAGTAATTAGAAATGGAAAAAAGAAATATGTACTTAACTTACTTGCGTACTAGCATTTTCAACGCGAATGGAATTCAACAAGGTGGGTTTGCAACTTCAGCTTTTTATCAATAATGGTTGTATTTTAGGGCATTTAAATTTGTAGATTCTGGTAAATTCAATGCTGCCACAGCTTTAAATATTTCAGGTTTTTACTATCTCGGAGTAATTTTAGTTCAGAAAAAAAGCACTAAGAAAGGCACTAAGCATTAATAATAATTTGTTTTGGCGTTTTAATTTTCAAAAAGCACTAAATCTAGTGCTTAAAGCACCAAGTTGGCTACTATGTCTATAAGTCATTCATCATGCCTGTGCTGGTGTATGGCGCGGAGGCATTGACAATGAAAGCATCTGATGAGGCGGCTCTTGGAGTTTTCGAGAGAAAGATTCTGCGAAAGATTTACGGACCTTTACGCATTGGTGATGGCGAATATCGCAGACGATTTAACGATGAGCCTCGTACAGCTTTACAACAACATAGACATAGTGCAGCAAATTAAAATTCAGCGGCTCCACTGGCTTGGCCATGTCGTTCGAATGGACAGAAACGCTCCTGCTCTGAAAATATTCAACGCGGGTCGCGATGCTGGTAACAGAGGAAGAGGAAGGCCTCCTCTGCGTTGGAAAGACCAGGTGGAGAAAGACTTGGCTTCACTCGGCATTTCCAATTGGCGTCAGTTAGTACAGAAGAGAAATGACTGGCGTGCTGTTTTGGACTCGGCCAAAATCGCTTAGGCGGTTACAGCGCCAATAAAGAAGAAGAAGAAGATTGCCATATCTTCAGAAATATATTACCGGTTTTTTATATTGGCGTGTCTTCATTAGCAAATGGTTGCGACCAAATAAATGAATCACAACGAAATGCATTTTGTATGAATACACATCCCTATACGTACATTCATTTATGTACATAAATATTTTTGTCGTTTAAATTAATTCGTATAATCTCGCCATGTAGAAAAAACCATATTCAGCGCGTAAACTCATAAGTAGCGGTCATGCCCCTTGATGAAAAATGCCTTTTACTGGCAATCGCCTGATTAATAGCCAAATCTGAAACATGCGCCTATTTCTCTATTTAAAAAAGAATATGCATCTTCAGGAATATCTACATATGTATGTATGTATGTATGTATCACGATCAGCTCTGAAAGAATGGCGATCGTTTAGCGATCGGTTTCTTTATTTAGTAAAATATCTGTCGTGCGTTGCGCATAAAAACCAAGTAAAACAATAGCTACCAATCAGTTATTTTTAATTTCCGTTGGTCGACGTAACGGTAAAGACAGTAATTATCGAGCTATTAAATTGAAGGAAAAAATGTTAACAGGAATTCTTTTCTGCATTTGCGCAGTGATTTGCCTATATTTATCATATCGTTATGCAGTTAGTCGTCCTGAAGGATTTCCGCCTGGTTAGCATTAATTTAATCCCTTATTTACGTCGTTTTTAAAGTGATTTATAAATGAATTTGCTCTTTTTTGCAACATTTTACTTCAAGGACCGCCACGATTACCGCTCTTCGGAAGCTATTTATTCATGATGCTGGCTAATAAAAAATATTTGCATAAAGGTGTACTGAAATTTAGCAAATGGTATAAATCGGATATTGTGGGTTTTCATGTTGGACCCTTTCCCGTGGTTGCAGTGCATAGTGCTCAAGGTGTCAAAGAAATATTGAATAGAAGGGAATTCGATGGACGTCCGCCTATGTTTCTGGCTCAAATGCGTGCACCTGAAGATGAATTATTAGGTAATTTTTGAAAGATTTGAGTTTTTTTAGAAACGGTACGTCCATATAAATACTCGTATTCGAAAGTTTAAAAATTGTTTCCTGAAAAGTTCCTGCAAAAAAATTTTTTTAATAAGTGAGTGCTGATTCTTTCAAACAGCGTAATTTTCGGGGTTTCATATTGGCGATTTTAAAATTTTGGACAGAAAAGGTATTTTATATAGAGGTGAATTCAAGTAATTTTGCCGTGTAAAATTGATCAATAAATGCGAAATTTGCAAAAGTTCAACCAATTTCCAAAGTTTGCTATCAAAATTTTTGAATCAGATTTTTTAGAAAAGTTTCTTGCATGCATTTTTATAGCCAATTTAATTTCAGTATAATAAGGAGCAAGTTCGAAGTTGTGCATTTTCTTCGACATAAAAATTTTAGTGTTTTAGGACATACATAAGTATGTTTCTATATATATATAGTATTCTCAAAAATCAGCGCGAATTTTGAGGAACCTCAAACGTTCACTTTTGTACTGAAATAGAATGAGCTATAAAAAGTAGTCTCTTTTATTCATAACTTCTAAGAGAATGTTTAATTCCGAGTAAAACTAGGTACCATTCTTTAAATCAATATTAAGTTATGACATTTCTTTAAAGACAGACAAATTTAAATTTTTCTATACGAACTATTGAAACGTTAAAATTAATCCAATCCAACTGTAAATTATAAAAGGTACCTAGTTTTACTCGGAATCGAAATTTTGTAAAAAGAAATGATGTCGAACTGGGAAAAATAGTAAAAAATTGTGTTAACTTCGGACTTATTCCAAAAATTTACAACACATTTACAATGTGCTCACAAAACTTATTATTTCTATAAATAGTACAAATATTATTTTTTTCAAAGCCATATAAAAACTTTAATTGGGTAAAAAATAATAGAACTAAAAATGGTTTAGTGCTGGAAGTCATGTAAAAATGGTTTTTTAAGAATAAGTCGATAATTTGAGGGTGTTACAAAAATTTTAAACGCAGTTTCGTGAATTGCTCGACGAGCCCTACGACCTGTACTAGGTCACTCAAAAAGTTCATAATCAGTGTAACACCGTGCAATTTAAATTATTATTTTTTTCATATAGCGTGTTATATTCGCCAATTTTAGATGGAAGTAATAAGTTTTTGTTACTTTATGGCCTTATAACAATTATCTTCAACAATTTTATTGAGCTTGAGGTCGTCGTTTAAAATCCCGCTGAATAAGTCTGATGAGGAGATGTAGTGATCTCCGAAAGAGTTATCACTTCTACCATTTATAAATTATTGTTAATTTTTCCACAATGGTTTTCATTAAAAAAATGACCTCAAGCTCCATAAAATTGTTGAATGGAAGTAATAAGTTCAAATCAAAAATGTTTAGTGTCTCTTTCGGCAATCTTTCTCGGAGATCGAGGAAGATATTATCCAATAGCGGTATAAATATTGCCTTTCGATAAAAATCTTCAGTGTTAAATTCACGATAATAAGCCAGAAAATTTGGTATATTCGCTCTACGAGGAAGAACAATGTCAAAATCCAATTCCTTAGCAATATCGGTAACAGACGTGGCAATGCAAGCGTTCTTTTTACTCATTTTGCAGTTACCCCCCTAATATATATCGCGTGAATATTAATGCATAAGACCATTTATGGCTAATTTGTGCGCATTTTAGCAGAAGTGGGCATTCTGCTAAATTTCACTCCATTTTATCATGTAATACATCGGGGTAATACTGATTAAGTCGGGACTTATTCACCGCGGAAATAGACAAAAGTAGTATCAGAAAGTTCGATTCCGACACTCACATAATGACAAGACTTCACCAGTTATCTTAATTTATTTTTAATTTTAATTATTTGCTTATAATAACATAAACCTCATAAATCCAAGTTTCAATCTTTTAAATTTAAAAATAAATCAACAAATTCTTATACAAATTTCGAGCTTTTTATTAGATTTTTTAGAAATATTTTAAGTATGCAGTTTTGTAGTTTTTTAGTATAACAAAGTGCAAGTTTAAAGTAGCTCGGAATGACCATTGCTTTTTGGGATTTTTTTTGTTGAAGGTGTTGCTCCTTCTGTCCATTTAAAAAAAATCGTCGAAAATTCCTTGGAGGAAAGAAAATGACTGACACCGTCAACAAAAAAAAAATATTACATTTTAATAAACAAATAATTAAAATTAAAAAAAAATATTAAGACAAATGGCTAAATCTTGTCAATATGTGAGTGTCGTAAAGTTATGAAAAGGGCTATAAATTCATAGTATCTACATATCCATTGTTTTAATTTGTCACGATTTATGTGTATTCTTGTTCTATAAATAATAGTGTGCTAGCCAAAAAGAGGATTATAATTGAATATTAAGATAAAGAAAAACTTTTTAAAAAATTTGTTTTAAAATTTCTCTTTTAAGGTAATATATTTTAACCGAAATTTTACTTTTTGCCCCCATTTTTTAGCCTGTATCAGGGCTGCAAAAAACGGTGCAGTTTGGTTCAGTGGTTCTAACCACTTATAAAAATCTTGTAGAGGTTCAGGAACCGGTTCGTCATTATTCCTGAACCGCGGTTCGGTTCGGTACAAATGGTTTAATTTTTTTAAAGCTAAAGGATACAAACAAATATTAAAAACCGAAAAAATATAAATTCAAATATCCATAAATAGAGACGCGAAATTTTAACAATTTTGGGTATTTTATTTTGTGTTCATTTAATGTTTATTTTTTAAGTATGGTTCATCATCTAACAAAAATAATAATAAAGCT